TTTTTCAGCTTAATTTATTACAACTTCTAGTCTTAGGCTCTACGGCGGATCATTGCTCCAAACCTTAACTAGTGTGTGAGCCGGTAAGTTAGCATAAGCATCTTAAATTTTGACCTGTTCGCTGCTCAATTCTATTCTTACTGCTTCACATATATTTCCCTCCACTGGAAATCGAATATTGAGTCTTATCGATCGTCATTTCTCTCTAGCAATCTGGCTACACTGCGTGCTGCCAGATCAGCGCCAAATCGCACGCATCTGGCAGCGTCAGCTGAGCGACTCGAACAGGTAAACGGGTCGCAATACTTGTTATAGCTCTGTACCTGTTTTTCGTTTCGTTTTGTGGCGCTCTCTCGCTCTGTTCGCGAGTCGCCGTCTCCTTCTTCGCGTTCGCCTTAGTTGAGTTTTGCATGCGGCGCGTTCAACAACGAGGCAAAAAGCGTAACGCGATTCGGTTCTTTTTTTTTTTTCATTGATTTTTGTTGTTGTTTATTTATTTACTTAATATTTTTTTTATATTTGTGTTCGGGCATCTCGACAACAACAACAACAACGGTATATAAAGTGAATATTTATTTGATTGTGCCGTGATCTGTGTGCCAAAGCGTGAGTTGCCCTTGCCAAGCCAAATCTCTGGCATGGCCGATGTAAACGGTCGATAGTGCTAAAGAAGCGATCAACGGACCTTTGCGGCCTTTGAACTCTGACAGCTTTTGACATATGTTCAGAGCTTTGGTCGCCCACTCTTTGCGATTCTTCTTCTTCCACTTCTTTGGCTCGCTGCTCATTCACACACTCCCTTGCTCTTTCTCTCCATCTGTCTCTCGCTCACTCGCTCCCTCTGTGTCGCTAGCTAAGTCCTTCTCTGTCACTCAGTGGAGTGCTAACCAGGCCATGCATTTTTCTGTTTTCGCAACAAGACGTCAATGGCCAAAGGCGCTGCCAGCATCGTCGTCGCCGTCGTCGTCGTCGTCGTCATTTTTCGAAACGTTCTCGCTTTGTTGCATTCCAAAGTAAATGCTACTAATAACAAAAAGGCAACAACAACAGCAACAACAACTGCATAGTGGTAGTAGTTGTAGTAAAGAGAAAAAGGAAGGCAATCCAAAGCGGCGGCCGCTTCCAATAAAATGAGGAAAAAATAAAAAAGTTGCCTGACTTGTTTCAGCCACGATTGTGAGAGTGTGTGCGAGTGTGTGTGTGTGTAAAGAGAGTGAAATACCACATGTGTGTCTGTGTGTGTGCATTGGTTTAAGGCGGTTGGCTCTGGGCATGCCCAAATGCCTTTGTGGCCAGCTCAAAGGCTAAAACGAAATTCGACATCGACAGAATCTTAAGCAACTTAAATGCCAATAAAAATCAACAATAAACTATTTAAATATTTGCCCAATAACAATTTAAAAAGTCAACAACAATTTGAGGCAATTATTTATTATTATGCAAAAGCATTGAAAAGCCAATCGAATATTTGAAATTAGTGAAATTAATGCGGCCATTAGAGCGCCTCTTTCTCTCTCTCTCTCTCTCTCTCTCCCTCTTTCTATTTCTTTCTGTGCGCGCGTGTGTGTGTATGTGTATACAACAAGTTCGTTGCCTAAGTCATTTGTATGATAATAAGCCAAGCAGCAACGACTGCAGTTAATCAAACCAAATCCCCACGCAGCTGGACGTACAGCAGACAAAGAGCACAACAAATGGATGCGAGGCATTAAAAAGTCATCAGCTGTGAATTGGACACAGAATCGAATATATATATTCATATATATTTATATACATATATGTAGCTAAAGTAAATTGCAAGCTCTGCCTTACACTGCTCAGTTTTATATACGTATATACATAGATATACATCTATATATTATAAAAAGCAACTGTAAAATCTCATGGCAAGTCTCGAGCTGATCGCAACCCAGAAACCTAAACAAATTAAATACCAATACATATATAAACATATGTATATATGTGCATACACACACACACACATACACACACACACACACTGCACACATACCTTAGACAGCAATTTACGACGAGGCGTCAGCGACTCCAGTTCGGGACGCTGTCGCCACATTCCACGGCAAGTGGAGGCCATAAATTGTCAGTGAAAATTTGTAGCCCGAAAATGCTTAAACATGAAATTTATTAGACAAAGCCAGGAAAATTAAAAGAGCAAAGAACTAAAAACGAAAAGAACCAAAATTAATATGCGCCGAGCCGGTGCGGCGCATAAATCAAATGGGAGAAAACCCAAACGCACAGCATCAATAAAACTAAATAGATACAAACATATATATGTTAATATATATATATATGGGTATGGCCTGGCTTCTCAGACGATTTGCATAGATTAAGGGCACTGGAAGCTGGGCATCGGGAATCGGGAATTGAAAATTGAAAATCTCGCCCGGTTAGTGGCCGATGTGGTGGGTCATTGCCATGGCCTGGCATATGAGAACGGTTAACGTTGATAACGGGTCTTGCGCGCTGGCCCGCTGGCCCGCCAGCCCCCTCGGTGGGGCAGGCCACTTTCTAGCGCTCCTTTTGGCTGAGCTGGTCGCTGCTCGCTGCTCGCGCTTTAGTCTAATGATGTCAATTACATCGTGCCACTCGCATTGTGGGCAACAGCAAATGCATGCCAGCTTATATGGCAGCAACAATGTGGCCAACAGCAGCAGCAGCAGCAGCCGCAACAACTAGCAACAAGTGTCTCGGAGTCGGCCTCGGTGGCCACAACTACAGCGACGTTTGGCTTCATTAAAATTGCTTTTCATTTTGGTCCACGTCTCACACACAGATACGTTTTGGGTTTTCTTGCACGGTTTGTTGGCTCTGCAGCCACCAACAGCAAAATGGCCAAAAAATTTTAATGAGATTTAATGAAATTGTACGAGCGAGCGTGTGGCCGGCCATAGACAAGTTGCCAAGTAAAGGCCGCAGTGACCAATCGCAGCAATAACCGCAAGCAAAGATTTCATTTCATTTCAGCTCAGTTCATTTTAGTTCGGTTCGGTTCGGTTTGGCCCGCCACAGACACAAACAAAAGACTTAGGCAACGAACTTGAACAAATCCATTGCTCTTTCATGCACAGAACGAGCACAGCGCGAACCGAGCTACAATTTCAATTGCCTTGGGGCAACACACACACACACACACACATTTACACACATACTTGATGCTCAACAAATTGATTGCTTTGTTAAAGTTTGTTCGTTTCTGCCTCTTCAAGTGCTTATCAAATAGTGCGCTTTGAAAAATATCACCAAATACTTAAGCACTTAAACATAAGTAGCCGCACATAAACAATTTGTCCCCCCTCAGCGTGGCCCCCGCGCTGCTGCTGCTGCCACGGTGCATCCGCAGTGCGCTTCATGTTAATCAACTTGAAATTTATGGCTCAATTTTTTGGCTGTGCTTAAGCAAATTTTTTGTGGCTTGCAGAAGAAATTGTTGCGAAAAAAAAAAAAAAAGAAATGGGCAACAAGAGGGAGAACGTAACAAAATCGCTTCACGTCACGCCCACGTTTCAGACTTAATGAGCCTGGGCTGGGCGGCAAAGGACAGCGCTCGAGAAGCTGGAGCAGGGGCAGAGGCAGGGGCATCCTTTTCACTTCGACTCTTTACGCCCAATTTGTCACACATTTCAACAGGTTGCGCGCAGGCATCATCAAAAAGCGAACGGCGATGACGACGATGACGATGACGAAGACGATCAACGAGCCTCCTGCAGGCAGGGACTTAGCTCCAGCTTGCGATGGGGCTGCCCATGCTGGGGATGGGGCTGTCTCTCTGTCCAGCCTGGGTCGGGGTAGGCGTTGTCTTGCGGAATTTTCGGGCATGCCTCACGGGCGTCTGAAGCGTGAGGAATTTCTTTTTCGTCGTTTGCTGTTGCCTCCGCCT